TTTTTTGGTATAGGACCTGATCCGGGATCTCCTATCACATCTTATTTTCTTATTCTCTTCCAGTTAGAATAGCTTCTCTGTTTTTCATGCTCTTGGTTCTTGAAAAATATTGATCAGTTGCTGTAGACTGGCCCTCATTTTGTCCTATGAAAAGCATAATTAGAAAGCAATTTGCAACCTGACATGTTCTCTATTTGTATTGGTAAGGATTGTGTTGGAGGGAAAGCTGACCATTTAACTCTGTTGTTTGGGTCTTAGTTTAATGGCTATGCTGGGAGCCTCTTCTCAAGTGGTCCTTATGAAAAAGATGATGAGGAAGCAGATGCTATCTATGCAGCTCTGGATAAAAGGATGGATGAAAGAAGAAAAGAAAGAAGGTAAATTATTGTCTTTCATCCTATGTTTATTGAACTTTGAAAAAAAGTTTTGTTTTGACTTACTTTAGGCTGGGAGAAAAAGTTTCAAGAATAGTCTGTGTTTGTTCAGCTTTGAGGCTACTTAGGCCTTGGTTTGTGACAGCTGTGCTTGGATAAATGCTGGGTGGTTGCAGATCTGGGATGACAGGTGTGTGCCCAGCTTTATTGGTTGAGATGGGGTGTAGATAACTTTTTGCCTGGGCTGGCTTTGAACTACATTCCTGCTCTCTGCCTCCTCAGTAGCTGGGATTATAGGTGTAGGGTTTTTTAAATTATAAAAAAAAAATACATTCTTGCCAGGTGCTGGTGGCTCACTCCTGTAATCCTAGCTACTCAGGAGGCAGAGATCAGGAAGATCATCGTTCAAAGCCAGCCTGGACAAGTAGTTTGCAAGACCCTGTTCAAAAATACCTAACAGACACAAAAAAGGGCTGATGGAGTGACTCAAGGTGTAGGCCCTGAGTTCAAGCCCCAATACTGTAATAAAAAACATTCTCATTAAAGAATATTAGGAAAGTGAGATGAGGTATGAGTATAACATTTGCTCATGAGTTCAGAAAGTTAACACTTAACATTTTGGTTCTTTTTCCTCTTTGTATTGCTTTTGGTTTTGGTGGTGCTAAGGCTCTGATCCAGGGCTTTGGGCATGCTAGGCGAGTGCTCTACCAATTAAGTTATATCCCTGTCTCATCTATTGTTTTTTTATACATGCCATCTTATAACTTCTTAAGGTATGTAGAATTTTTAACTTTTTCTTTTCTTTTTTTTTTTTTAAAGTTTTTCAGCAGTACTGGGTTTGAATTCAGGACCTCATGCTTGCTAGGGAGGCATCCTGCATGAGCCAATCTTCCAGTCCAAATTTTTGATTTTTTTGAGATTCTTTAAGTAATTTCTTTTGAGGATTTTTATTGTTTTTTTTTTTTCTTTGAGACAGGGTCTCATTATCTTACCCAAACTGGCTTTGAACTTATGATCTTCCTGCCTTAGCCTCCAAATGCTCGTATCACAGATATCGATGTCACACAGATGTGTATCACCATACCCACCTGTTTCAGTGATTTTTTTGGAGAGCTTATTAATATAGGGCATAGTGGTACATGTCCATAATCTCAGCACCTGGGAAGTTGAGGTAAGAGAATCATGACCCACCTGGGCTGCACATTGAGATCTGTCTTGAGAGCTGGGAAGCAGTGAGGGATTCATTTTTTTTTTTTTTCTTGCTGTACTGGGGTTTGAATTCAGGGCCTCACGCTTGCTAGGCAGGCAGGCATTCTACTTGAGCCACTCTGTTAGTTCGTTTTTGTGTTGAATATTTTTGAGAGAAATTCTTGTGAACTGTTTGCCCTGGCTGGCCTGGAACCATGATCCTCCTGATTTCTGCCTCATGAATGAGTAGCTAGGGTTACAGGTGTGAGCCATTGGTGCCTGGCAGAAAAACTCATTATTAAATCATTTTATAGCTGTAGTAATTAAGTGTGAGTAGTTTTGCATTTTAAAGATTTGATTTCAGTTGGCACCAGTGGCTCACCCATCACAAAAAAGGGCTGATGGACTGGCTCAAGCGGTAAGAGCACCTTCCTAGCAAGCCTGAGGCCCTAAGTTCAAACTCCAGTATTGCCAAAAAGAAAAAAAAAAAAAAAAAAAAGATTTGATTTCAGTCCTTTGGGATTAATTCATTTTAAATATCACTGACATGGATACATATAGAAAGTCATCATATTTTTAAAAAGTAGTTGGTGAAATAATCTGAAAATAATCTGAAATTATCTAAAAATAATCATAATATAAATAAGTAAAAGACTAGTAAAAGCCTTTGAACCAGTGGCTCATGCCTGCTATCCTAGCTACTTGGGAGGAGGAAATCAGGAGGAATGAATTTCAAGGCCAACCCAGGCAAATAGTTTGAGAGATCCCATCTCTAAAATAAGCAGTACAAAATGGACTCAAGGTGTGGCTCAAGTGATAAGAGTCATGAGTTCAAAATCCCAGTTCCACCAAAAAAAAAAAGAGTAACCAGTGACCACCATATTCTCTCTTAGTTTTAGTCTCAACACTTGTTTATAATTTGAATATTTTCTTATGCATCTGTGGGTGTTGTTACTGGGTCATTTCCAGTGCACCCCAGTCCCAAGTACTTAGCATCCATCTCCCACTTGGGCCTTGTGTCTTTATCATACCTAACAACACAAACTCCAATTCTGTTATCTAACAGCCAGGCACCAGAACACTAAAATGTTTTTTCCCCATCCACTAGGATAAATCAGGATTAGTTGTCAGGTCCTGTCTCCTAAGACTCTTCATTTAGAATAGCTCCCTCTTCCTGCCTCTTATTTTGGTCGGATTGGATCTTGAACTCAGGGCTATGTGCTTGCAAAGCAGGTGCTCTAGTGCTTGAACCACACCTCCAATCCATTTTGCCCTGCTTATTTTGGAGATGGGGGTTCTGCAAACTATTTGCCCAGGCTGACCTCGAACCTCAATCCTCCTGATCTCCACCTCCCAAGTAGCTCGGATTTTACTGCCTCTTTAACCTGCTCATGACATTGATTTTGAAAAGATCTTTTTGTACGAGGACATAATTATGAAATGGCTGCCTATTTCCTCAGAGTGTCTTTTAGCTTGTTCTGCTCTGTTATTTTCTGTGGAGTGGAAGTTGGACCTGAGGCTTGGTTAAAATCAGGTGGAACCTCCATGGCCAGGAAACCTGATAGGTGTGGCTGTTTTCTTTTTTTTATTATTATTATTATTCATATGTGGATACAATGCTTGGGTCATTTTTCCCCCCTCCCCCTACCCGGTGTGGCTGTTTTCGATGATTCATGTCAGGAGCCTTGTGGACTGACCATTTCCAGCTCACAGAGATGTGTTGATCTTTTTGCAGCACATGATTTATCATAATACTTTCTTCAACTTTTCTTTTTTCTTTTAGTTTGATCAAACCCAAGGTCCTACACATGCCAAGCAAGCACTCTACCACTGAGCTAAATCCCCAGTGGTTTTATCATACTACATTAAAATTCCTACCAACAGATGTTTTCATTTTTAACTTATGGAAGAAAGTAAAATCTCAGTGTTTACAAGTATTAACTGCTTGGTTCATATCATACTGGTAGTCAGCTTGGTTGGCCTTTTGTTTTTTTTTTTTTTGGTGGGACTGGGGTTTGAACTCGGCTTTGAGCTTGCAAAGCAAATGCTCTGCCACTTGAGCCACACCACCAGTCCATTTTGCTCTGGTTATTTTGAAGATTGGTGGTGGGGATCTTGCTTTGTATCCTGGCTGGCCAGAACCATGATCCTCCTATTTTATGCTTCCCACTGTTGCTGGGATGACAGGGACAGGTGCGTGTCACCACACCCAGCTTTTTTCCATTAAGATGGGGTCTTGCAAACTCTTTTACCCAGGCTGACTTGGCACAGTGATCCTCCCAATCTCAGCCTCTCAAGTAGCTAGGATTACAGGTGAGAGCCACTGGTACCTGACTCTGATATTTTTACTTAGAATTTTCAACTGTAAGACAGATAACAAACCAACTTTGTTTTGTATGGACATCCAGTATTTCTAATGCAGGCACATGTTTTATTTCCTAGAGAGCAAAGAGAGAAAGAAGAAATTGAGAAATACCGAATGGAACGCCCCAAAATCCAACAGCAGTTCTCAGATCTCAAGGTAAGCAGATGGGTTGGCATGTAGTTCTCTTGTACTTCACCCAAGCAGCAGAGGACCAGACTACTTTGTTGTAGTGCTGTTGAGCCCTTACTGTGCTGTTTGTTTGATTCAGAGAGGTAATTGTTTAGAAGAAGTTCATGCTTCGGTATTTTTGATAATGTGTATACATATGTTAAAAACAAAAACAAACCCATTCCTCCCCCTAATGTGAAAGGTAGGACAAATAAACTTACTTTCTTTGTGATTATAGCTCCATTTATACATAAGGTTTTCTAAGCTAAGTCTGCTGGACTTTGACAGAATAATTTATATTTTAGTGAAATAGATCCAATAAGTTGATTTCTCTAAGTAAAGTGGAAAACTATTTTTACCTCAGTCCTTTCTAAGACATGACGGACTGGAGACTGGGGAGGGTGAGCATAGTCCGACTTGAACCGTAAGTCCTGCAGACAATTCATGATTTGGAGCTGTGTGTTTCCAGAGGAAGCTGGCAGAGGTTACAGAAGAAGAGTGGCTGAGCATCCCAGAGGTTGGCGATGCCAGAAACAAACGCCAGCGGAACCCACGCTATGAGAAGCTGACTCCTGTTCCTGACAGTTTCTTTGCCAAACACTTACAAACTGGAGAGAACCACACCTCTGTGGATCCCCGACAAACAGTGAGCACCTGAAAGGAAGGAGAATGGGGTCATTTAGTGTGGACAGGGCACAACGGGAATGGTAGGTAGTGTTGGATTGAGTGCTTGTGCAGTTCAGTAGCTCTACTATGGCCAACTCTGTCTGCAGAGCTGTGTCTGTCAATACTGGGGTTCAAACAGAGGGCCTCCTGCTTACCAGGCAGGTGCTCTACTGCACAAGCCTCGCCTCCAACCCTTTTTTCCTTTAGTTAAATTTTTCAGACAGGGTCTTAAGTTTTTGCCCAGTGAGGAGGTGAGGTTTTTCATCATGACAGTGTGAGCCAGCATTTTATTCTTTCCCCCAGCAATTTGGAGGACTGAACACACCCTATCCAGGTGGCCTGAACACTCCATACCCAGGTGGGATGACACCAGGATTGATGACACCTGGTACAGGGGAGCTGGACATGAGGAAGATTGGCCAAGCAAGGAATACCCTGATGGACATGAGGCTGAGCCAGGTGAGCGTTTGTTACACAGTGTTTTTCTAAAGATGATAATTAAAAATTTTTGTTGTTTGATTATAAAACTAATATAGTTGTTTTAAAAAAAAAAAAACCAGCAAGGGTTTGAGATGTTGCTCAGTGATAAAGTGCTTGCCTAGTTTGTGCAGGGCCTTGGGTTTAATCCCTAGCACTGCAAAAAGAGACCCCAATGAAGTAGAGAACCCTTTCTGGGGCTAGGCATGGTAGCACATGCCTGTAATCCCAAGTATTTGTAAGGTGGAGGCAGAAAGATTATGAATTTGAGGCCAGCCCTATGCCCTCAGCTCTTTTTTTTTTTTTTTTTTGGGTGGAACTGGGGTTTGAACTCAGGGCTTTGTGTATTGCAAAGCAGGTACTCTATTGCTCGAGCCACACCTACAGCCCATTTTGGTCTGGTTATTTTGGAGATGGGGTCTTGAACTATTTGACTGGGCTGGCCTTGAACTGTGATCTTCCTGATCGCTGCCTCCCTAGTACAGGTGTGAGTCATTAGCACCTGGCTTTCATTTTGTTCTGAGACAGAGTCTTGCTATATAGCTCAGGTTGGTGTCAAATCTGTGATTCTTCTGCCTCAGTATCGTGAGTGTTGGGATTATAGGCATGTACCACTACACCTGGCTTATAAATGTGTGTGTGTTTGGTATTTCCCAGATAGGATCTCCCAAACTGTTTGCCTGGAGTCATGATCACTTAGCTTCCTGAGTACTAGGATTATAGATGTGAGCCACTGGCACCCTGCTTACTGTTTTTACTCTTACAAGCTGAGTTTTGATGAATTTTCAGGCTTTTATCTATGTTCATTTAAGTAAACTTTTTTTTTTTTTTAGGTACCGGGGTTTGAACTCAGCCTTTGGCTAGGTAGGCAGGTGCTCTACCACTTGAGCCGCACCCTCAGACCTTTTTTGCTTTAAGTATTTTTCTGATAGGGTCTTGTTTTTGTCTGGATAAACCTTGCATGGAGAGTCTTTGGATCTCCACCTCTTTGTGTGTGTTTGCTGTGTAACTTATTTTTACTTTTTCCCATGAATACATTGTTAATGTAAGAATCATACTTTTAGTTTGCTGACTATAGCTAAAGGACATTTCAAGAGTTGGATATCCTTAAAAAAATGTAAACACTGAAGAAGCTGTAAATCTCTCTTACTGTCCTTGTGCAGGTTTTAGATTTCACCCTGCCTATGTCCAAACAGAAAACAATAAGAGACTGCAGACAGCTGCAACCTAAAGAGTGAAGATACTCAAATTTCTTGCAGAATTATTTTCTGGTACTGCTGTTCTCTTTGTATTATTAATCTCTATTTATATTTAATTCCAGTTATTAGTCTGCTTCTCTTAGCCACCAAACTATTTGCAAAGGAGAGTAGAGGGAGACAGGGGTTGCTATGCTTAGGCTTCCTTGTGGAATGAGGCCAGAGACAATTGAGTAACACCATTTGGCTTCTTTGAAAATGACAGAGATTATTTGGGTGGACAACTCAGGATTTGTTAACATAACCTTTCCCCTCAAGAAGGTAAAACAACAGATAAACTTTTTTTTTTTGGTGGCACTGGGGTTTGAATTTAGAGCCTTATGTTTGCTAAGCAGGTGCTCTTACTGCTTGAGCCACTTAGCCAGCCCTTTTGTTGTGATGGGTACTTTTGAGATAGGATCTCAAACTGTTTGCCTGGGCTGACTTCCAACTGTGATTCTGCTGATCTCTGCCTCCTAAGCAGCTAGAATTACAGGTGTTAGCCACCCATCTTCACCTAAGAGATATATTTTTGAAGCACTTAATTAAACCATCACAAAAAAGTGCTGGTGGAGTGGTGGCTCAAGCGGTAAGAGCACATGCCTAACCAAGTGTAAGGCCTTGTGTTCAGACCCCAGTACCACCAAAAAAAAACCTTTGTTGTAGCAAATTTTTTTTTTTTCTTTGCAGTACTGGAGTTTGAACTAGGATCCTCACTTTTGCTAGACGTGCTCTCTACTGCTTGAGCTATGTAGTCAGCTCTTTTTGCTCTGGCTGTTTTAGAGATAGGGTCTTGCATTTTTGCCCAGGCTGGCCACAAAGTCCTTGGCTCAAGTGATCTACATGCCTCAACCTCCCAAGCAGCTGGGACTACAGGCACATGCTACCATGTCCAGCCATTTTAATCATTTTAAAATATATGTTCATTGATATAGTAAGTACTTTCATAGTCATCACCACCATCCATCTCCAGAACTCATCATCACAAACTGAAACTGGACCCATTGAACATTTAACCCTTTATTCCTCTTCCCAGCCCCTGGCATCCCCCATTCTACTTTCTGTCTCTATAACTTTGATGGATTCTTAGGTACCTTACATAGGTAGATCATACAGTAGTTTTCTATTTGCTTCTGACTTACCTCATTTGATTTGATGTCTTCAAGGTTCATCCATGTGGTAACATGTGTCAGAATTTCCTTTTTAAGACTGGTTAACATTCTGGCTGGGTACTGGTGGCTCATGCCTGTAATCCTAGCTACTCAGGAGGCAGAGATCAGGAGGATAGCAGTTCAAAGCCAGCCCAGGCAAACAGTTTACCAGACCCTATCTCAAAAATACCTAAGAAGTATTTGGGTATTTTTGGAATGGAGTGGCTCAAGGTGTAGGCCCTGAGTTCTAGCCCTGGTACTGCAAAAAAAAAAAAAAAAAAAAAAAGACTGGTTAATATTCTGTTGTTCTGTTGTATGTATATATGTATAGAAATATACATACATACATGGTTTACTCATTCATCTTTTGTCTTTTGAGAATAATACTGCTATGAATGTAGGCATACAAATATTTTTCTGAGACCCTGCTTTCAGTTCTTTTGGGTATATACCCAGAAGTGGAATTGCTGGAATATGGTAATTTTATGTTTAATTTTTCCAGGAACAATTATACTATTTTCCATAGCTGCTATACCAGTTTACATTTCTAGGCAAGCACTAGCACTAAGCTATGTCCCAAGCCAAGAGTTTTTTTGTTTTGTTTTGGGTTTTTTTTAGTGGTTCTGAACTCGGCTTTGTACTTACTAGGCAAATGCTCTACCACTTGAGCCACTCTACCAGCCCTTTTTGTGTTGGGTATTTTTGAGATAGGGTCTTGCTTTTTGCTGGGGCAATAGGGCTTTTTTTGTTTTTTGTTTTTTGCAGTACCAGGGTTTGAACTCTGGGCCTTGTGCTTGCTGGGCAGGCACTGCACCATTTGAGCAACACCTCCAGACCTTTTTGAGACAGAATTTCTCAATGTAGTCCAGATTGGCCTCAAACTCACGAGCCTCCTGCCTTAGCCTTCTGAGTGCTGTGATCATAGGTGTGTACAATCATACCTGGCTCCATTTTACATTTCTAACAGCAGTGTACAATGCTTTTTCCAGTTTCTCCACATTCTTTTCAACACTTCTTTTCCTTTTTTCCTTGATGTGGCCATCCTAATGGGTGTGAAGTAGTAGCTCACTGATTTTCATTTGCAATAGTGAAGTGGAGCATCTTTCTGTGTGCTTACTGGCTGTGTGTATATCTTCTTTAGAGCCATATCTATTTAAGTTTTGGTGCTTTCCCCCTCCCACTACCACCTTTTTGTGGTGCTGGGGATGGAACCCAAGGTTCGTCATGCTAGGCAAGCACCCTACCACTGCATCCCTAGCCATGCCCATTTTTAAATTAAGTTTCCATACTGGGCACTGGTGGGTTGTGCTCATAATCCTAGCTACTTGGGCTGAGATCGGGAGGATTGTGGTTCAAGGCCAGCCTGGACAAATAGTTCAAGAGACCCAATCTCCAAAATAATTATACCAAAATGGGCTGGAGATGTGACTCAAGACTGTCTGCTTTTGTAAGCACTAAGCCCCGAGTTCAAAACCCAGTCCCACCAAAAAAAAAAAAAAGTTTTCTTAATTGTTGTTTATCATGGTAATTTTCAAACTCACAACTAAAATTATATAATTAATCACTATATACTGATTTTAAAAAATTGTTGAAATTATCGGTCTTTTACTTTATGATTTCTGAGTTTTGCTCATTGTTGGAAAGGCCTTTTTAGTTTCTACTTAGTTTTTTTCCCTAGAACTTTTAGGGTTTCTTTTGTATTTTTTTGATGCTGGGAATTGAACCTAGAGCTTTACACATGCTAGGTAGATTCTGCTGTACCACTGAGCTACACCCCTAACACCAATTAATCTTTTTTCTCCTCCTTGGGTTTTTTTTCTTTTTGGGGGTGGGAGGCAGTATTGGGGTTTGAACTCAGGGCCTCACACTTGCTAGGCTTGTACTCTAGTAGCACTGGTCACTCTACCAGCCCTGTTTTGAGTTGGGTATTTTCAAGATAGGGTCTCGCCAACTACTTGCCTGGGCTGACTTCAAACTTCGATCCTCCTGATCTCTGCCTCCTGAGTAGCTAGGATTACAGGTGTGAGCCACCCTCAAGGGATGGCGGTAAAAGGTAGAGGTGTCATTTTTTAGTAGGTATCTTTTTTTGTGTAGAATAAATTTGTTTATTGTCTCACAAACTGTTGTCTGAATTAAATTAAATTTGTTTTCTCCTTTTTCCCTGGCTACCCATTGTTGGTCAGGGCATGGGAAGGGGGGAAGGGGTTCCAGGACCTGTAAGTACTTTGTTTTGGACATTGCTGGTCATATCCAGCTGATTCTCAGCTTGGTTTGTCTCACAGGTATCTGACTCAGTGAGTGGGCAGACTGTTGTGGACCCCAAAGGCTATCTGACGGATCTAAACTCTATGATTCCAACCCATGGAGGGGACATCAAGTAAGTGCTTTGCAGAATTTGTGGATTGGTATGGGAACTCTAGTTGCCTAGAATATTTTGGATTTTATTTGGAAAATATGCAATCAAAATATGACTTAGTGTTCTAAGAAATGTAGAGTGGGTTGGTTTTCATTTAAAATATATTTGAGGGCTAGGGATATGGCTCAAGTGGTAGAGTGCCTCCCTAGCAAGCTTGAGACCCTGAGTTCAATCCCCAGTATCATCAAAAAAAAAAAAAAAAAGATAAAACATACCTGTATACATTTATCGTGTGTGGTAAATGTTTCACAAGTAATATTCAAAGGTGGTATCTGTGCTGAGCTAGAACGCAGCTTGCTATATGTCCCATGTATCCTATCTGGATCCTTAGGGCTCAGAATTTGTTTGCAGGATGCCTAGCAGGGCTCAGAGTCCTGCTGACCAGAGTTCTGCCTCAGCTCCTGTCTCTTTGCACATCTTCATCAACAATTCAAACATTGTCTGAAGGGGGCGCTTTCTCCCTGGGTATTGGCACACTCCTGGCAGGCAGTGTGGCCTGATGCTGTTTTCATTCTTACTCTTCTAGTGACATCAAGAAGGCACGGCTGCTTCTCAAGTCTGTTCGGGAGACAAATCCTCATCACCCACCAGCCTGGATTGCATCAGCTCGCCTGGAAGAAGTCACTGGAAAGCTGCAAGTGGCTCGGAACCTTATTATGAAGGGGACTGAGATGTGCCCTAAGGTGAAGCCTGTTGTAGGATGTTTTCTATGACAGCTACATTATTGCTGGTTGTCAACAGACCTTCTGTGTCTGTGTTAGGCAAGGTACCTTTGAGAGAAACCTAGCAGAGCAAGTCTGTTTCCCCCTGGTGTGGTAACTGTAAGATGGATAGGCCAAGGAGGGTGTGAACAGTGGAAAAGGTTTTTTTTCCTGCTTATTTTCACATGGAGCAAAGACTGATCCATCATTAGTTTAAGGCAGGGTAGCCTTCACTAGAAGGAGCTCATCACCCCACATAATGTGTGAAACCTAAAAATGAGTGCTAACTCTTAGGAGAATATTCCAGTACTTGTGTTTTGGAAGGTGGGATGGCTAGATAAGCTTAAAAAGTACTGTGAAACCCTCTTAGTGCTTGTGTACTTTACTGTACAGATCAGGTGATCCTGGTAGTGGAGGACACCCTGTGAAATACTACCCCAGGGTGTTAGGCACAAATCAGAACTTCCCAGGCAGATTTTTAGCCTCATGGACCTGTATTCTTGCAAATTGTAGGTTTTTGTTATTTTTTTGGTGGTACTGGAGTTTGAATTCAGGGCTTGGTACTTGCTAGGCAGGCACTCTGCCATTCAAACCTCCGGACTGCCAACTGTATTGTTGCAAAGTGTTCTGTGTGTTCTTCATTCAGACATGGTACCCATATTTTTGAGGCTTGGCATTACAGCACAAGCTGTGTGTAAGTGTGTTTGTGGTCAAACTGATTGACTTTTATAGAATCTGGGGGCTCCAGAGGTACTTGCTGCTCCATTGCAGCTCACAGTGTATACATGTACTTACTACTCTTTTCTGTTGGTCCAGAGTGAAGACGTTTGGCTAGAAGCAGCCAGGTTGCAGCCTGGGGACACAGCCAAGGCTGTGGTGGCCCAAGCTGTCCGCCATCTCCCACAGTCTGTTAGGATTTACATCAGAGCAGCAGAGCTGGAAACAGACATTCGAGCAAAAAAGCGGGTTCTTCGGAAAGGTGAGCCTCCCTTGGAAGTGCCTATTAATAAGCAGTTGTCCCTGCAGGTTGTGTCACTTGAAGGAGGTGTGTTTTGTTGATTTGTCTTGGAGAGGAGCTCTTCTGCTCCTCAGCTTAGGCTCTTGGTGAGAGTAGTTAGGGGCGGGTGATGTTTTCCAGGCCTTTTTCTGCACTGGTTTGCCTCTGCCCTTTGACCCTCTATAGGGGAGGGACACTGTTGTGGAGGAGTTCCTCTCTTGGTTGGAGACTTGGATTGAGACTGAAATCTTGCCTTTCTCCAGTATGTAAGCCAGGAAGTCACTATCAGCCAGGTTTTCCTAGATGAGGGTAGGATGAGTTATAAACCTGCTTCTGGAGCTCTGGAGGCTGAGTGAGATGGCTGTAGGAAAGGGTGGACCTGCCCAGGGCCTTTGACACGATGTGAGGTGTGCCTATGGGGTAGTGTACCACTTGCTGTATATCTGGGTGACCAGTAGTCACACCTGAGTGCATGGTGACTGAACTTCTTCCCTCGTTGATGACCTGTACCCCATAGTCCCTACAAGGTGAGGTTTGCTGTCTGCCCTTGATCAGAGATTTTGTGGGCAGATGTGTATTGCTCATTACTGTGGGACTCATAAAAGGAAGGCTGTTGCTCCCTGTTTTAGAACTTCTAGTAAATGCTGCTTTCATACTTGGCTCCGGAGCAGGTACTGGTCAGAGGAGCATTCTGCAGCAACTTGTGCAGGTGGCTTATTCTGCCTGAATTTAGCCTGAGTATAGTCAGGTCTGTTTGTGGAGTCAAGGCATCTTCTGTGGTTGGTTTCTAGCCCTTCTTTTTCAGATCATGTTTTGAGTGGAGAATAAGAGTCACTTTAGGGCTCCTATGCTGATGGGGCTTTGGGAGCCTGGGCTTTTTGGATTAAATGTAGTTTCTGCCTACTGGTTGCCTGTTTGTGAGTGACCAGGAGTCTGCTGTGTGTGTGGCAGTTCTCTAGTTCCCCTGAGCAGGTGACTTCATACACCAAGGTGTGAATTCCTTTGGCAGTTCTGGTTTCTTAGGTATAGCCCAGCCTATTGAATGCTTAGAGCCAGTCTTTTTTTTTTGTGGTACTGAGGCTTGAACTCAGGG